AAAAGGGCCAATCAGCTTTATAATCTTATGGAGTCCTGTGTTGCCGGTTGTGGGGTACCGGGTGGGACAGAAACCCCAACAAGCTGGCCCTCATGCTACAGGGCACTACTATTACTAAACATCCCAGCAAGCACATACTCCGAGAGCTGCCATTTTGTGTTTGTTACTACAGGATGGGAGACCCAGGGGATACTTGCACACACAGAGGGCTGCCAAAATGGTTTCCTGTCAGAAGGGAGGAAGGTGAGATACTAATTACTCAGAATTACTAATTAAAAGCAATCAGGGCCAACAAGATAACTCAGTAGGTACAGGCACTCACAGCCAAGCCTGACAACCTGAGTTCAATACCTGATCCCCCATAGTAGAAAGGAGAGAACTGACATCTACACTGACCATAAGCACACCTGGGGCCCCTCCACACCCCTCCCCCAAAATAAAGATGGCTTCCGTGCACACATGCACAATGTTCACGGCACTCATGCTTATGCGCAAAATGTCATTACGGCATAGATTTACATGGAAGTGTTCTTGCAAGGTCTCACCCCCATGCCTTATAAAGATCTTTCTGGACTTCTTGCTTCTGCCAGGGCTACTCTGTGCTCCATTCTCAACTGAGGAGCCTTAGTAAGCCTTTAGTCAAACCACCCTGTCTTCAGAGGAATAGCCACAGCTCTTCAGTGGCCAACAGGATCCTTCATGAACTTCCTCCCCTTATCTTTCTAATCTCCTAAGATACTTCTGAAAAACCTCGGAGACGCCAGGGACATTCAGTCAGACTGGCAGGCGGACGGTGGTGCTCTCCCACACAATCACTGATCTCCTTCCTGCCTCTGCTTAAATACATCTTCTTAAAAGCAACTTCCCTGCCCGACTATGTGAGAATGTTACTCATCCCTCCTTCCCCCAAGCCTGCTCTTCTCGTGCTCTCTGGAACATTCATCATATCGTGCCTTGTCCTTGAATCTTTAGTATTGATTGTCTTCCGTCGCCAGGATTAAGATTTCTAAAGGCAAGGGTTTGCTTCTCTGGTATCCACTTAGTGCCAAGAGCAGACACTCAGTAAGTACTGTTGAATAAATTAATATCTCATAAGGAAGTTTATCAAGAGTGCTACAAGCATTAGACATTTATTTTAGGATCCTATTTATACCTGTTTATACCTATTTATACCTGTCGTGGATGTAGAGATCTTTGCGTTGAATTAACCCTCTCAGCTCTTCTCACACCTCAGCAGTGATGTAAGTCATGCGAGGAGAACTGGGCAGTTCTCGAAGTAGTAGGATGACCAGAAATAGAAGTAAAAACTGTACTGAAATTTTCCTACTGTAGGATAAGAGTCAGAGTAATGGGCAGTTCAAAAATCACCCCGGACTTCTGGGAGACATAGTATTGCGCACGTCAAATCATTACTGTCCTTTCCTTGAGCGTGGTCGGATTCCCACCTGCTTTAAGAAAAATGCCATTTGGAAAGCGAAAACCTCAGTGCCGGAAGCAGCTTGGCTGGGTTCGGACAGGGGAGTTTACATTCCGTGGTTGGCTAGAGCCTAAGCCCATGGAATGTGTCAGGGTGGGACTCAAGCTGTAATGAGGATGTCAGTGCTTTAACCAAACACTACCCTAGGGACTTATACATTAACTTCCGCCATAACTCCAGTTCCAACACTCAAGACCGTCTTCTGAGGGCACTGCATGTACACTGTGCACATGCATGCACGCAGGCAAAAACCTCATCCATGTAACCTAAAAAAGAGCCTCTTTCAGAGCCCACGGCTGCCTAGTTGAAGGCGCCTGAGTGAAGGAATTACCCCCTTGTCTGATGCCAAGATGCTACTCACCCATATGCCCAATTCACTTCCCTGAACTCTCAAGGAAGGCCTCTCCCTGTGGCGGACAGGGAGAAGGGCTTTGCATGATGCTATCAGTAAGAGGTCTACCTCAAAGTTTGTAGGTACTTTGGAAAACGGGAGGCACACAGTGAGAACTCTGACTGGGCTGTGCATTCAGAGGCCCTCCCTGGTGGCACCAGCTGATCAAACAGAGGCCCCGCTGGATCCGAAGTCTTCCCCATGGGCGTCTGTGCGTAAACAGACCGGCAGCAGCATCACTGGCGTCCACTGGCTCTCACAGCTGCAAACACCAGTGACACAGGGACCTCAGGAGCACCTGCGGTCTGTTTAGAGCACGCACCTCCCAGCCGCCCCAATCTGCTCTTCTGACTCCACTGCTCTGGGACAGACCCAAGGAAGCTGCTTTGTAGGGTGTCCTGGCTAGACAAACACAGGCCGTGCTTGGAATGCCACTTTGAAATCTTTGCTTTTTAAGACTTATTTATTTGATTTTATGTGTTTGAGTGTTTTGCCCACTTGTATGTTTCTGCCCTATATTAGTGCGCAGTACCGTGGAGACCAGAAGAGGCATCAGATCTCCTGGAACTGGAGCCACTAGGTGGTTCCTGGGAACCAAAACTGGGGCCTTTGATTGAGCAGTGAGGGCTCTTAACCCCGAGCCACTGCTCCAGGCGCCATCTTTAAACCTTAATGGAGCCACTGGAAAGCCTTGTACTAAGTCCTTACATGATGAGTTCATCTTTGCGACTGTTGATCTAGGCATCTGCAGAGAGACTATCCGCTGTCTCTCCTGCTTATCCAGGTCTGGAACTCCAGCTCCCCCACCCCTCCTTCTTTTAGACAGACTCTAGCCCAGGCTAGCCTCAAACTCGAGATTCTCCTGCTTCTCTCTCTCTCTCTTTCTCTCTCTCTCTCTCTCTCTCTCTCTCTCTCTCTCTCTGAGTCTTATGACCACCAGCTCTTTTGAGACATGTCTCTCATTGGTCCAGAGCTCACCAGTTAGGCTAGAGGGGCTAGCCAGTGAGGCCCAAAGATCCTCCTGTCTCCAACTCCCTGAGTTACAACTGTGTGTCATCATGGCTGGCATTGTCCCATGGGTTCTGGGGATTAAACTCAGGTCCCCCTGAGTTTGAGACAAGCATTTTATTGACTGAACCATTTCCTGGCACCTTGTTAAGAGGTCTTTCCTGGAAGACCTCAGAGGGGTGTGCCACAAGGGATGGAAAAGCCCCCAATATATAAGAACCTAGCAACGTCTGAGCCCTCACCTCCTTCTTCACCCTCAGAGATGTTCAGGACAATCCCAGGTTCCCCGGGGAGTGTTAGAGTTTCGTGTGCTTTATTCACTAAAGGAAGAGGAAAGCTCTAGGCAACAAGTAACGGAGAAAAACCTCAACCAAACAGGGGATCAAAGAGAAAAACTACCAGGAACCAGGACAGGGCTCAGCCTGCTACTGGGCAGAAGGGGAAGGGGAAATTCACCTAAGGTAGTAGGTAAGAGAGTTACAAAATGAATGGGCCTGGGTTCCTGAAGGAGAGAAAAAGCAGGAAGAAGTGAGTTTGGAGCCTGTGGGTAGGGTGGAGCAAAGCCAGGGCACACCTGAATTCCAATGTCAGTTCTGCTACCAGGCAGTTCTGGGACAAGGACAAGGAACTCACTTCTCCAAACCACAATTTCCAGAAGAAAGGAAGAGAGAGAGAGAGAGAGAGAGAGAGAGAGAGAGAGAGAGAGAGAGACACTGTCATTAACTCGGGTCTGAAGGATGGGCAGGGCGACCTGGGTAGCAGGGATGTGGAGGGGATTTAACAAAGCTCAGCCTTTACTCATTTGTTTCCATTTTCCCTTCCAAAAACACTGGCCAGCGAATGGCAAGAAATAACACATTTAACTCTTTGGTTTAAAGAGGAATAAAATAAAAATCCAGAACTTAGAAACCAAATGTAACCTGTCTAACACAAGAACTGCCCCAGCAGAGATGGAACCTTTTCCTGTTTTTACTCCCACTGTTCCCTCCAGCCACTGTGAGGCCTACTATACCAAAATGGGATGGTCAGCATATACTCTTCACAGAACTGCGGCTATTGTTTTGCCTTCTGCAAAAAAAAAAAAAAAAAAAAAAAAAAAAAAAAAAAAAACCAAACAAACAAACAAAAAAAACCAGTTTCGGCCACTCTAAGTCACAGTAGTTCCCAAGAAGCGAGGCCGGGCATCACAGGTTGCAACATGGGATATCCAAAGAATCAGGCTTCAGCCAGGGTAGTAAAACCATCCTCATCCTGTCTGTGCCTATGCAGGACCTCCATGTATGTGTCAATAGTCCTCACCAACTTGGTCTGTTTCTTTCTTCCTGTGTATGGCTCAGGGACAACTCAGTCACTGAATTCCTTGACTGTTGGCTTGCTCAACTCTCATTTCTGTGGACTCACTGCCCAGGACACAGAGGCGTTCAATCACTGAGAATGGAACCAGCTGATGTTCCAAATCAGAAGGTAGCGGACATCAGCTGTGCTATGACCCTCCATCTAACACATGGAGCTGAGGGGCTCACACTTGGTCTCCGGGTTCAGCTAGTTGACGGTCTAGCCTCTGACAATTCATTTTCTCAAGCAACGCAGACACGTCCACAATGACGGGAGAGATGATGGCCTCAACAGGGCCCTCCCAGGATCAGGGCCCTCCCAGAGACCCCCCTCTGTCACTTTAAAGGGGTCAAGGATCTCCTTTCAGTGTGGTTCATTACAAGAGGCATTAATTCAACAGTTCCAGTGTATCAAAACATAGGAACACAGACACAAACAAACTCCGCAAAAGGAGGCTCCCATTAATACTCACACCTTACTCTAGGGCCCCCCAGATAAATGGCCTCTGTGGGGATCAATGGCTCAGTACTTTAAATCCCTCTGTGATCCCTAACACACATAGCTCACACCTGGTAGTCACTCCTGCACGTGGGGCAGCGTGTCACTTCCAGGCTAGTCATCAGCTCTCAGGAAACTGGCTAGAAAATCCCAGGCACTTTTGGGACTGCTCACCTACAAGCTGTTTATCAAAATCCTGGCTCGCCTTTGACCAGTTCCCCTCTGGAGACAGACATAAAAGACTCGGTATCGCCACGCCAAAGGAGGAAGAAAGTGGATGAGTATACTCACCAAGGTACCCACAGAGCACCTGGGACTGTCTGGAGCAAAAGCTGCCCACTGAGCCAGAGGGTGTTGTAACAACTGGGCAGACAGCTAGGGGTTTTAAAAAGCAGGTATTAGCTATTTTACTGACGACATGCCCAGCCCAGAATTACACTAAGATTCCAAGTAGGAAAGGGACTTGCCTGCTAGTCTTACCATCCCCCCCCCACCCCACCCGTCAAGATAGCAGACATCTGATAACCAGGGCAGGACAATAAACCCTCTAAACTCTTGGCTCCCACCCTGATTTCTCCTCCCTGATCTCCTGTGACGCTGTACCCAGCAGCCCGCATTGCTCAAGGCAATTGTCCTTTTGCCATGCTCTAGTAAAAAGACAATATCTTACAATTTATATACTGAACTGGGGAAAAGTAATACCTTGAATTATCCTAAAGATGAATAAGAGAGATCTTGACCCCCTTGGACAAAAGAGTCTATTGTTAAGAACAAAGCCTGAGTTTTTGTTTGGCCGGCCTAGGCTTCGCTGTTCTTAAAAACCACCTGTCCGCATTTTTCACCCACATATGAAAACCCTTTCACATTTGGGTCAGAAATCCAAAGGCCTGTTGATTTAGAGCTATGGGCCTACAATTTCAAAAGTTAGCACATTGTGGAAGAAATTAAACATGTCTTCCTTGGAGCTGGGCTATTCGGACACCCCCAGGCTTTTATATGTAACGAACAGCAACCAGATTTAAAGGTTGCTGCCTTATTCTCAGAGAAAGAAAATGCACTGAAAAATAAAAAAAATCACTCATGTACATATGTATATCAAAGGGAGGAGAAAACATTGCTATGTGTTCAAAGCAACAGCTTTCTTCTCTTCAACAGGATTTTTGCATGAGAAGATGGGGATTAAAATTCACTGATTTTCCACGAACTTACCATATTTTTGTATGTACAAGACAAACACGTTAGCCCTCACCTCCCAAAAAAGATGACATATTTAAAGGCCTAGCAAATACAAGGCATTTGAGTGCCTTCCAGGTATCTGGCTTGCTGGTGACAGAAGCTGTGTCTACATCCAGGTCAAGCAAGAACACATGTTCTTGTCCAGCGCTTCATATTGGTATAAAATCTGTGTGCCTTCCGTTTGCGTGCTTATATGGGTGTATCTTCTACAGGTAACCAAGGCCCTTCAGAATGGACTGGAAATTTCTTTTAACAAGACAAAGGCTTCATGGACTCCTCCACACACGTCACTTTAGACAGGGACAGGGACAGCCCTTCCTATGCTCTATATAACTGACCATCTCCAAAGTTCACCCACTAGCAAGACCCCAGAAACACATGCTCACACACGCGTGGATCGAATTTTCAAGTCAGAACACTCTTTGGTTCTGAAATGGGGCTCTGCGTGGCCAGTGTGGCAGGGAAGGTTAAGGTTAGTGACGGCCCTGTCGCCGCACATGCTGCTACCATATGCTGCCTCGAGCCGACATCTGCGCCCATATGTTCCCCTCAGGAAGCAACTGCACTGTTTACTTTTAGAGTTTCTTCACAGTCTGATAGGGAGAGGGGATCCCTCACCCTGAGGATAAACTGTTTGTCACAAGATTAGCAAGTTTTCTCTTTCATATCTGACCTTTAGAGAGCCGTGCTGAAAGTTATCCTAAATAAAAATCACAAGGAATATAATCAGAGACGTGCAGAGATGCAGAGGGAGCTGCTGGCTCAGCAACATGTGTTCCTCTGTGCGATGGCCCTATGCATTTCTTGAGGGGGGAACCTAAGGCCTTTCCCTGGGAAACAGCACCTTCTTCAGGCCAGTACATGCTCTGATACAGCAGAGATACCAGCCATTCTGCTCCCTGAATTCAGATGGCTGACTCTGCCCACAGTCATCCAGACCTCAGGGACACAGGTGAGAATGGAGGGAGGGAAGGAAGTGCTGCTCTTGAATCCTTAAGTATGCACCTTTGGTTTGCCTCTGCTCCACTGGGAGGCTGAAATATCAATATCCTTTCTTTTTCCTTCTCTTTCTGTCCTGTTCTGTTGCCTTTGCCTGTGGTTTGTTTTTAAGCAGGGCCACAGGAAAGGGATCTCTGGTGGGAGCCAACACCACAGAGAGTAAGATCATAAACTGTGTGGGGCTGTGACGGGGACAACAGGGGCTTCTTGGGCCACAGAAAGAAGTCCTCCCTGTTTAAGCAACCAACAGTCAACTTACACACGATTGTATAAGTGGTGACGCGGATGCACAGGTTTTTGTTTTCAGGTGACTGAAGATCTGGTTATCTGTGACACTTTGTGAGATAAGAAAGACAAGGAAAACCCAGACACATTCAGAGAGGAAACTGTTCAGAGGATCTGGATGCTCATAAACTGGGAAAGAGGACTGCGAGTTACCCAGACTGTAGGATGGAGACAGAGTGTTTCGGGCGGATACTTTACAAAGTAACTAAAGATAAGGATGTAAAGGGTACTGCTTTAGTCCAAGACTGGTAGGCAGAAAGCAAGGCAATGAATCCACAATTTATAAAAGGATACCTTTTCTTTATTCTAGCTGGCTGCTTAATCTTGAGGGAGCCTGAGGTTTAGCAAAAGGCCTTTTTTGGTTCTGGGTGGCAAAGAGTTGGACTGGTAGTTTTCAAATTTGACTATGCCCAAGTGTCCCCTCTGTGCTGGTTATGAATGCAAATTACGAAGCCTTTGTCACGCCCCTCCTGGTTATCACCCACAGCTGTCAAAGGGGTCCCAGAAACCCTAATCTGGGCAAAGAGGTCGAGGGCGCCTAGTTTATAGACCATCCAGGAATACTGTGTGCAATTTGTTGAGTGTAATTAATGGCATCCGAATCTCTCAATCAGGGCCAAAGGGATGGCTTGGTAGTTAAGACACTGGCTACTCTTGCAGAGGATTCGACCTATGTAATGGCTCAAAACTGTCTGCAACTTCAGTTGTAGGGAATCCTATATGCTCTTCTGGCCTCCAAGGGCACTGCATACACATGGTACACAATGTACATGCAGGCATGCTCATACACATAAAATAAATACATCTTTTTCAAAGTCTCAATAAACTTCATGTCAAATTATCTCCTGAAAAAAAATCCTCCCACACCCACAGTATCTCTTTTTCAATAAGAATAATTACACATCTGGGCACTACCATTTCCTCATAATACTAAACTACTACGACTTTCAACTGCTCTTAGAATGTTCTACATACTCGGGGCTTCACTCAAGGCCCTCTTTCTGTGCCGCGAACACTTGTGAAAACAGAGCTGGCTCTACACACACTGTTTCATTTCATTACTGTGATATTTTCTGACAGTGGGATTCTTCTGAACTATGGCCCTCTCCACGACAGACTGTGCCCACCACTGTAGCCCACAGAAACAGAAAACACGGGTTTCCAAGGACGAAAAGTGACAGTTCCCTTAAGCCTGCCTAGTGACTTCAGCTAACATGTTTAACAGCTCGATGAAGAGGTAGAAGAGCTGAGTGCTCAAATCAGCAAGGTTTGCTGTTGTGGTTGTTTGTTTTGTTTTCACGCTTCAAGATGTCTCAGATATAAACAAAATGGTGAAAGAAAGGAACAACTAACCCAGGGGGTTCGCAGTCATCTCTAAATGTGGTACTTGTTCTCTCTCAGTGCTGGGAACGCAGACTGTAATCCCCACCACTTTGGGACCAGGCAGGAGTTTGTCCCATCTTCTGTCCCTAGTCTCAACTTCCAGGTCAAATGCCAAGGGATGAACTTGGGTGTGGAAAGATAGAATAACACGGACATCCCAGGGGACAGTTTCTTCAATAAATCCTCTTCCTCCCCAGAGAAATAGCCTTTATCTGGGACTGCTCTTCTGGCCTAGGGTCAGAGTACACCGTTGACACTTTTCAGGATTTTCTGAGCTAATTGCTCAATTACAGAACTCCGTTATAAATCAAGTAGGAACAGTTTCGGTACGATGTCAAGGCAGAAGTGAAAATGAGATTGAACTGGAGGGTAAACTATGAATGGCCCTCTAAAAAAAGAATTTCCCCAAATGGAGAAATGGCAAAGTCCTACCACATCTGGTGCAGACAGAATAATCGGTGATAAACTTGGTCTACGAAGCACTGACATTACCAACAATGAAACCAGTCCAAAGCTTAAAGATTAAATTGCATTTCCCAGAATATTCCCACTGACACTTCGGCAATAATACACCCCTGTGCTCTTAAAAATAAAACCACCTGATGGCTCTGCTGTTGCTGCTCTCAGGTGGAAGGATGGCAGAGCTTGCCAGTCCTGTGGTCAGGTCAGCTCGTATCTTGGAGCCAAGCAGAGCATTCTTGTTCACAAGAATGAAGGAATGAGGGTTCCTATGGCAGCCCGAGGTTATGAATGGATGGTGATCTGTGAACTAGCTTGTTGAGACATATGTGGTGCTTGTCTGTGTGCTGTGGGCAAGACAGGGAGAACCACGTGAGCCAGGATCCAAGTCATGGAGTTTTTCTTTTTTCTTTCATGAGATTGGAAAGATCCTGCAGAATTTCCTGAAAGTAACATCACCAGAGAGCAGTTCTCACATAGTTACTCCATGACTGTGCCTTCAGATATGTGGAGTCTCCTCTTCAGGAAGAACCTGACTCCTAATTACCAGGGTGGAAAGAGCCAGGAAGGCCTGAGGCAACAGAGGAGACTCTCCCTGGGAACGGAGATGCACGGAGCCCAGAGCCCGCTAGAGTGAAGGAAAACAGCTGCCTGCCGAGGGTTGGAAACGCATTCAAACTATTTTCAGACGGCTTGGGCTTCACAACATCCACGGAGTATTTTCCATCTGCCTTTGGTTTCTCAAGCCATTGTGGCTAAAGAAAAATCTAAGCCAAACATTTCTAACTTATCAGGCCTAACGAATTCAAGTGCTGTTTGAGAGGACGAAGGGATGGTAACAATCCACAGGACAGGGTTTGCTCAGCTCTATGAAACTCTCTTCTCTTTCTAAAAGACCTAAACTCAGTTCGTTTCCTCTTGAATAGCAGTTTTCTGGCACCAGTGAGCAGTGTTCCTAGGTTGTCCTAAGAAATCCAGGGTACAGATCCACAGAGGAACATCATACAGTACAC